TGTTGCAGTACAGCCTTTTGTAATGACTTCAGTTCGTCTTAATGTACCCAATATTGGTTTAAATAAGAAATTTTTTCTTATGTTTGCAGGTTAATAAGCATTTTGTGATGAGAGCATTCATTTAGCTCCATTTGTAATTACGATTGGCGCGTTACGTCTCGCTAAGTGTATCCGTTCAACATGCTTCAGGTGCTTAATTGCAGCAGTACCTTGGCTTCCTTAAATGGTCCCCCTAAACTGTTTAAAGCAAAGGGCAGTGCAGTGCTGCAGTAAACCCCGGTGTAGAGTCTACCATCCGTCATGTATTGTTTTTGAATCGGTTTAAAGTAAGGACCTTCTTTATATGTCTGTGTGGAGAGGAGAGCAGCTCTCTATCAAGAGAAGAGTGAAATTGGCAGCGAGCACTTTAGAAAGACTGAAAATGTTCCTATCAGGAGAACTGTCCTTGTGCTTGACACAGAAAATTTTCAATCAGTGTTTTCGTTCAGTCCTAATCTAAGAATGAAAACTGTTTATAAACTGCGGACACAACATGAAATGATGTATGTTTGGAATAAGAAAATGAGACAGGAAGGCAAATGAGTGGATAAAAGTACAAACAAGAATTTGCGATGTCGTTGTATGAGTGAATAAGTTAAAGTCAAGTTTACAGGAGACGTTTCAAGAATAGCTGACCTTCGCTCGACCATTGGGGTTATTTGGCTGGATTCCCGAAGAGGGCAAGCAACTGGTGGGAACATCTTCGGGTGGATGGTTGCAGCTGAATAAGTTCGTTGGAAATTGAAGTAGATTAGAATCACCAACGTAATAAGTTTATGACCAAATCTTGGCGAGGCCTTCATTCAACGGTAGATCGAAAAAGGTTGATGATGAATCGAAACGAATGTTTATCTGTGGTTCTTGTTTAGTAGGCTTTGCTGCTGTCGCATTACGTCCACGTATATCACGGACGACATCTGACTCTGTCGACAAAGATTTGTGAAAACAATTAGAAGCATGCAAATTTCGTTTATGAGATATTCCTGAACGGTGGAGCCGGAGCCCAATCGCTGA